CTATAGAAAAGCAAGGCGAAGCACTTGCAGTGTCTTTGGACATTTCTGAAGCTTTTGACAGGGTCTGTCACCCAAGCCTATTAAGTAAGAGGGAATCTTATGGGCTTCCCACTGACCTTTGCAATTGGATCTCGGATTTCTTTTTAAGGTACCTTTGCGTATGCTGATGACAGCACAGTTGTAGATAGGTATTTGACCAATGCGAGGGTCGGTGGAGAGGAAATACAGTCTTGTCGAGAGTCCATGGTTAGCCGGTTGGATTTGACGCTCAATCTAGTCAAATTTAACGCTACCATAACGCAGGCGTGTCAATTCTTCACAAAACGGAGTCCCTTTGAGCTGACTCCGACTTTTTGTGATATATTCATACCCATAGCCGACTGTGTCCAGCTACTTGGAATAGACCTGTCGTCCAATTTGAACTTCGGCAGATACATTGCATCAATGGTCAAAAATGCAGCAAGGAAGCTTGGCATCCTTTCCTGGGTGAGGCGTTACTTTACACCGGGACAGTTGCTTCAGCTGTACCAAGCACAAGTCTGGTCATGCATGGAGTATTGCTGCCACATTTGGGATGGCTCTTCTACATACCAACTGGCCACTTTGGATTCAATTGACAACCTTGCCAAGTGGCTTATAGGTGACTCGGAATTAGTGGAGGCGAAGCTAAAGAGCCTTGAACACCACCGTAAAGTTGCCTGCTTATCGACATTATGTAGGATATATCACAGGGAGTGTGCGATTGAATTACACGATTTAATTCCGCCTTCCTTTCCATCACCGGGGCACTAGGCGTAGGCTTGGGTTCCATCCCTATGTTGTGGATATTCCAAAAATTCGCACCAAGCGTTATGCTTCCACATTTATATGTCGAACGGCTATGGAGTGGAATTCCCTGCCTGCAGACTTATTCCCTGAACGTTATAACTTGGGCTTTTTTAAGGCGAGAGTGAATAGGCATTATTTAGGTGTGTAAGCTCCATCGTCGACCTCATCGTCACTGTCCATCAGGTGAGATGGAGGTCAAATGCGCACTTATAATCTATAAATAATAATATTCTATATATTTAAACATATGATACGTACGTATGCTAATAAAGCTGACATTAGGCAGTGATTTGAATTGAAGATCCTGGTTTTTCAGGCTTTCGATTTCTTTTATTACACGCTCATCTTCCATATTAAGTCCTCGAATAGATGCTGTTATTGCTGTAGCTTCCTGTAAAATTAAAACGTATACATTACACGTAATGCTATTATTGTGAACATTTTAGAAGTTCTTAGATTTGCTCGATTGTTACACATAGGAAATGAAACTATTTTTCCGGTCAACACGGTCAACCGTGAACATGGAACCTGTAAAGGGCCCGAAACGTCGGTTTGTTTGAAAAAACAAATATGCGCGATTTAAATCCGGAAAAACAGCTTCATTTTCTATTTTATAAGCTGTTACAAGTACATTTTAAAACATAATTTGTATAGGAATTAAAACGAAAGAAAACGAAAAATCGACAAACTGTTTATTTTATATTGTACAAAACCTGAAACAAGCATGTCAGTCATGATGCAATGATCACACATTCGAATGATATTTAAATGGTTCGTATAGTTATATACATGAGATACCTGCCTGACGGGGTGTGTTAGTTGTTCTACCTCCACGCGTGCGAAGTTCTTGAGCATTCTGTGATAACATGTTGTCACAGAATGCCCGAGGATGTAGTCGGTATACCCTGGGGCCAACACTGACAACTCTCGGCTTCAGTCTGAGTCTTACCAGTGAGGACGCGAAGCGATCAACACGGCCCGGCCATGCGCCTCTGGGGGTGGACCATGGCAAGTGGTGGGCGGTCTTAATTTACACCCTACTGCGTTCATGCCTACGCAGTTGAGAGCCGTACGCAGGGATTAAGGAATCCGGGGGGGTTGAGCCCGAGCGGGGTGGGGACCCCGGCAAGCAATACCCTCTTCGGCTCTGATTTCCTATTAAACGGTAGCCCTGTGACTAGCCAATACAGAGAAATGGCAATGTGTCCCGTCAGAAAGCCACCGGTGAGGTGTGGGGACTCGGCCATGCTGACGGGGTGAGTATGTGCGGAGTACCTGGCTGACTTTGATCAAGTCAGCCAGTTGCACGTTTCGAGCCTCCGATGTCGCGTATTGAGCTCCTAACTTCTGCACCTATACTCTCCTGATAATCCTGGTGTCCTGAATGGGACATCCCCAAAGGTGCGGGCTCCGTGGTGGGTGGGAATACAGGAGAGTGAACACACAACACTGCATTATGTACTCTGCAGATCAATTAAAATAAATAAATCACTCAAAACCGCATTAACAACGCACGTACGCCGAGGCCACCAAAGAAGAACTGGCTACATACGGAGCCCCGATGCTGACAAGGTTCAGGAGGCCCTATGTGAGCGCCTCGCCCAGGGAGCGGAGGAGTGCGGCGAGGTGGACGTCGGCCCACAATTCAGGGGTAAGCCTATCTTTAGTGACGGGTCCTTGAAATTGAGTGCCACGACACATTCCAGTGGCTAGAAGACGCTATTAGCACCATCAGGCTGCCGTCCGGGGAGCCCTTCTCATTGAGAAATGGAGTGGAGGCTCCCCGGAGAGCGGTATGCGGACTAGTGGGAGGATGCACGCCGAATCGGCCGCATCCTCAAGTGGCAAAACCTATGGGCGGAGGTTCACCGATGGACTGTCCACAAGCTGCAGCAGCAAAGTGGACATACCTTCGTGGTGGTGAGCCTCCCTGAAGAACTGGTCCCGGTTGTCCTGGGGTATGATCGGCGCTTCACTTTTAAGTTAGTCACCGTCTACCTCAGGTTTAGATCCAAAAGGGGCCTGTACACGGACACGAGAAGTGAAGGAGCCCTCCCTGACCCCCGTCTCTGCTGACGAGTGCGTGTCGGGGATGGGAGACATCCGACTGAGCGAGGATGAGGACGAGGAGCTGCTGTCCACTGATGGCGGTTACCCCCTCGCTCAGTAACATACAAATCGTCCAGTGCAACCTCCACCACAGTCAGGCCGCAACGGTTCAACTCCAGAAATGGATTTGCTTCCAAACAATACAGCCGTGGCACTGATCCAAGAACCGTGGATCAGTACCCGCGGCCAAATAAATGGACTCTCACCTCTTGTGAGGTAAGCTGCTGTCAACTACAATCTCAGAAAAACTACGAACTTGCATATATTACTCTAACAATTTACACGTACAGCCACTAACAGAATTCTGTTCCAGAGAACTGTAAGCCGTCAAGCTTTTAGCTGACACGGCCACGGGCCTGCCTGAAGTGGTGCTCGCCTTTGTCTATATGGCGGAGACTGACGTACCACCACCGCAGGAAATGGAACGGCTAATCAAATACTGCGAGCAGTGCGGCCAGCACATCGTCGTGGCTACTGACTCCAATGCCCACCATCCGTTGTGGAGCATGAAACTTGCAAATGACAGAGGTAAGAACCTAACAGAATACTTATTCACAATTAACCTTCAAATCCTTAATGGAAGGTACAGTACCAACCTTCGTAAATAAAAGATGCAGAACGATTATCGACCTAACCCTAGTGTCCGAAGAAGCATCTTTCGGGCCACAGATGGATAAGATTCTGCTTAGAAACAGCCATCAAAGAACAACAACCGAAACGGAATCCCCGAAAAACTGATCGTAAAGTATACACTGACAAACTACACCAGAGCCTGGGGGAACCGGTAGCACCAGGAAGACTGCTGGACACAGCACAGATAGAAACACAGGTTAAAGAACTCAAATCAAACATATTATGCAGCTATAACTCCGCATGCCCACTGAGTGACTCAGCCCCGCGGCAAGGCCAACACTGGTGGGGCCTGATCTTGAGAGGCTACGAAGAAGGGTAAGCAGACGCTTCAATAGAGCAATGAACACATGCGCGGATGAGGACAGGGAAAACTATAAGACGGCCAAATCCAAACTAAAAAACGCATACGGTTCAGGAGCACCGCGTCATGGCGAGGCTACAATGGGAACATCACGTCTTGTGCACAAGCGAACAGAATAAGGAAAATCCTAAGCAACTCAAATTTAACTGAGCTAGGTTCAATTCGCAAAATAGACAACACATACACAACTTCCCCTGCGGAGAGTACCCTACTGGAAGCACATTTCCCAGGATGTAGGTTCGTCCAAGACGACAGGTGCAAAGAAATGAACAACTACATATCGATCCATACCTGGCAATAAGCTGAACAAATAGTAACAAACGAAAAGACAAAACGGGCAGTAAACACCTTTGAACCGTACAAAGCTCCGGGTCAAGATGGAGCATTCCCCGCACTCCTACAATGGGACCGGGACACATTGGTCCAGCGCCTGGTCAACATCTTTCGGGCCCGTCTAGCATTCAGCTATATGCCCTACAGCTGGCGAGAGGTAAAAGTCATATTTATACCGAAACCAAGTAAAAACGACTTCACTGACGCGACGTCCTTCAGACCAATCAGCTTCACATCATTCTTCTTGAAGACATTAGAAAGGTTATGTGAAAGAGAACTGAGGGATGGAGCGCTTAAGAACATACCATTACACGGAAACCAATATACAGCCACGGCAAATCCACTGAATCGGCCCTACGTGCCCTTGTGGGCAAGATAGAAGTGGCTCCCAAAGACAAGGCAATCTGCTTAGGCACCTTTATAAATATTGACGGAGCCTTCGATAACACCAACTTCTCCAACATGCAGTCAGCACTGAGAAGACACGAAGTGGATGAAGTGTTAATCAGCTGGATTAGCAACATGCCAAAACAAAGAATAATAAAAACAAAGGCAAATGAGACCCCATGGGCCATAGTAGCGAAGGGGTGCCCTCAAGAAGGGGTCTTTGGGTCGGGGAGTCTGTCGTCTCTGCTGTGGAACATGGTCGTAAATGACCTCAACATTAAACTAAACAAAGAACTTTTCTATACAGTAGGGTATGCTGATGACCTAGCTATACTGGTAACAGGAAATTATGCCAATACACTCTGCGACATTACACAAGTTGCACTCCGGATTGTGGAAAGATGGTGTAGAGCATACGAACTATCGGTAAACCCAACAAAGACGGAACTAGTAATGTTTACAAACAAAATACTACTGGGTAACTACTTCCTACCCAAACTCTTCAGTACAGAACTACAGATATCACTATATATTCAACTGCCTCCGCGGCTGAACGGTTACCATATATATATCAAGTACTTGGGAGTAATACTGGACAACAAGTTGAACTGGAACACGCATCTGGACAAAAAAATTAAAAAAGCTACTATCACCTTCTGGTAGTGCCATAGAATGGTAGATAAACAATGGGGACTTTCACCCAAGATAACACTATGGCTCTACACAGCGGTGATAAGACCCATGATCAATTACGGCGCGATAGTATGGTGGCCACGAACCAAACTGACGACCGCAACCGACAAGCTGGACAAATTCCAAAGATTTGCTTGCATGGCGACGTCCGGCTGCATAGGGACAACTCCAACTGCGGCACTCGAAGCGATGCTGGACCTGTGACCTCTCCCACTGTTCATCAGACAGGAAGCGGCGTCAACAGCAGTGCGTCTAAACAGAGCCGACCTTTGGAAGTACGTGAGGACCCCACATACAGAAATCCTTTACAAGACTGTCAATGAGGAACCGCTACTGGAGGCGGCCGTGGATAGGATCCCAAAACAATACATCTTTGACAAAAAATACAAGATACAATTGTTTGAAGATGCCAACGAAGTACTGAACGCCAGAGAGGTCCGCGTCTTCATTGATGGATCTAAAACAAATTCAGGAACAGGTACTGGGATATTCTCAGAAGACATCAATATCAGGATATCAACACCGCTTGGTGACCACAACACAGTATTCCAGGCTGAATGCATGGGCATCAAGTTGGCGGCAGAAGCAATCATAGCGAGAAGGTAAAGAATCACTCCATTCGAATACTCTCCGACAGTATGTCAGTACTCCAAGGACTGAACAGCCATGACTTAAACTCAGGGCTCATTTATGAATGCGATCAAGCACTCATGGAGGTATGTATACAAAACCACGTAGCTCTACAGTGGATTAAGGGACACAGCGGCTCACGTGGCAATGACGCAGTAGATGAACTAGCCAGAAAAGGGTCGGAGACGGACGCTGTAGGACCAGAAAAAGATAGTGTCCGTCCCCTATCAATGGTCCAGAACAACTATACACAGAGGTACAAAATCTTCACATAATAATACATGGACCACCCTTACGGTTTGTAGTCAGGTGAGAGAAGCACTCCCAACGCTCAATGCCAGTTCATCTCGAATATTAATTAAACTCAAAAGGCAAGAGCTTCGCACTCTAACTGCCGCCTTAACGGGTCATGGTCCATACAATAAACACCTTTTCAATTTAGGTATCACAGACAGCCCCCTATGCAGAGCGTGCATGGAGGGGGAGGAAACGGCTGCGCACGTTCTACTACAGCACTCCGGCGTGGCCAGCTACAAGGCGAAGTACCTTGGAGTGCCAAGGTCGCTCCCCGAAGTCTTCAGCAAACCGAGGAAGCTGTTGAGATTCCTGGAGGAGCTTGGTTGCTTGAAGATATTGAGATCAACATATTTTTGTAACCAGTACTAAATTTCGTCATTTACCGTCCAAGTAAATTGGTCGAGCTAGCGGCTCGTTATATGGACTGCCAGTTACAATACCCGTGTTTCGATTCCACGAGCACTATTTTGTTTTAACGTTATACTTTTAAGAGCATTGATTCACTTTGTTATGTTAACGTTGACAAATCACAATATTTGCTCGGTGGGTTATGTTATTAATAAAGCGTAGGGCGGGTATGGATAGATTAACAAATCACGAAATCGCTCTGCAGTTTCCATGCGAACATATCGTCTGTGATTACGCATTGTTCCACGTTTCGTTCAAATTATCTATTCCGTTTTAATTGCTTTCAAAGTTTTCTTTCTTATTTTAATATACCGTACATAACGGAATTATTAAAATTAGAAATTATTCTTCTATATGAACAAGACTTAGACATTCGTTTCACCTATCCAGAGGTTAAGATAAAAAAAATACAATATTATATAGTCATAGCTAAATAATATTCTATTTTTAAACTGACTCGAACCATGCCTACCTCAACTTACGAAACAATCCTTATACCGCTAGGCCACGACGGCCTATAGCCGGTTGAAATTTGTATTCTGTATTTAAGGAAGAACTATATATTATAGATCAAATTGGCTTAAAAACTTTCTTACAATATCATTCCCTAATGAGACGACCAGGGAGTCATCCCAAAATAATTTCTACAGTTCACAGGTTAAAGATTAAGTTTGTTTAACAATTTTCTCCACATTTTGTGCTCAGAAACAAAAGGTCGACATAGTCGGCTTGGGAGGTCAAGTATCTTGTGTATGTGACTGTACATTATAAGAAATAATAATCGAATGTAATAAATGACTGACATTAAACTATACGCGTACAGTAAGGCCACATCTACTAGATAACAATTTTTGGAGAGAGGTTTAAAGATTCTATGGACTTTTTTTATGCTTAGGAGAGTCATAAAATTTCATATATACATATTTTTTTTTCATGTGGTACGTATTATTTTGAACCAACTTCAAAAAAGGAGGAGGTTCTCAATTAGATAATTGTTTTTTGTATATGTTACTCGATTACTTCGATATTTGTCAACCGATATTTTGATGATAATGTTCTTGTTAAAAAGGGGGCACCTCAATCGTAGTCCCATTCAAATTAGGAGATGAATCTCATCAATCATTTTCTGTAATTCCAAAAACTTTTGAGGCAATTTTTTTTATGAAAAAGTTACAATTATTATGACTTCCATGTCGATACCTCCAATGAACATACGCCAATGTCATTTTTTGGTTATTTTCTGTTATTTTTGTAAACAGCCATATTTGTTTACTAATATTACACTCCTCGAATTTTTTGAAAAAAAGGAACAAAAAACAAAATTCGAAAAAAAACAATTTTGTGAAAAAACATAAAGAAACAAAAACAAAATAAAATCAAAACAGGTTCAAAAATTAAGTTGGCGTAGTGTTCATTGGAGGAAGATTGGATGTATCGATGTGATAAAAGCACTTTTAACGTATTAATCACATATGATCACATGTGGCTTTATTATACTAGGGGTACGAATTATTCAACCGTACTCATACCGTACTAGTTTTAAAATTGCATAGAATAAAAGATTGTGCTACTTACATTAACTTTGCCAATCTTCATGAGATACGCTGGTGATTCCGGTGCTTTCAACAACAGCAGAAATGTTAAAAGTGGAAGCCAAATAACACTGTATATTGCTGCAAAGTAACTCAAATATGTTCCAAGGATATACATCAACAGTACACCCATATTCTGAGACATTGTAACCAGGGATACGAGGATACCTCTTATATTGTCTTGACTTATTTCCTTGACGTACATTGGTACTATTACATAACATCCTCCTGCAGATAAGCCACTGAATATTCTTGCTATGACTATAATTGTCGTATTTGCTGATGAGAGCTTTAATAACCAACATAACTGCAATTATATTAAAAACTGTATAAATTAATTAAGAAAAAACCGTGAACCTTGAAAAACCGGACTCGGACCTCTGAGTTTCACGGAATTTATTTTGCAAATTTAATTTGAAATTTTTCAGTAAAGCGAAATATCGTGATGAAACTTAAACCTCGCCTGAGAGGAGACCCGTGCCCAGCAGTGGGACGTATTAATGGATTGATGGTTATGATGATATTAAATTTATGCACTAGTATTTGTAGGAATTAATACACTAAATGGGAATGATCTGAGCTACTTATAACAAACACTTTGGAAAATAATATTTAAATAAAATTTAGTTATTTCCTTTTTTTAATGGGAATCGTTGAGAAAGGATGATTTTGCCGAGACCCGTACAAATAAATTCCAAACAGTGGACTACCATTGTGATTTCAGATTTCACGTAACTTTTTATTTATCAAGTAGAAAGTTAGTTTAGTTTAGATAGTGGAGTACTCCAGACTTGAAGCCAAGCACCCAGAGAGGTGCGAGCGGTTGGAGTCCCGCCACAACGTAATTTTTAATTCGTTTGTGTTGAGAGTGCTGACCGATTATATCGTCCTTCACGATGAAGGTGTTTTGGCCGAAGGGCGTTGTCTATCGACGATTCCGAGGTCTGTTATAGTGGAAGAAATATTTTTTTCACCGATGAATGTTATCTCTTGGAATAGCTATCCTTTCTACTCATCTCAATTTGTTAAATTTGGAACATGCTACAGCGATGAATGTAAACTGTCTTATGGAGTACCCCAGGGCAGTATTTTGGGCCCGACGCTGTTTAAGGTGTACATTGACGAGCTCTGCAGATTATCACTAAAAAATTGTGAAATTTTTACTTACTTATGCAGATGACACAGCTCTTATAGTTTCTGGGTATGCATGGGTAATTGGACTGAAGCTAAAGTGAACGCTGAATCGGCTCTTAGGGCAGTTATGGTCTGATTGAGAACGAACTTGCTAACATTAAACGTTCAAAAAACAAAATATATCGTTTTCTATAAATGCATCCGGTCAGACACATCCCTCTTACTCTGTTTCTGCTCATACATGTGTACCGAATTCCGTTGTTTGCTCTTGTCTTGAACTCCTAAGAACTAAATATTTAAAATACCTCGGTATTATTCTCGATCAGAGTCTGAACTGGCGAAACCATATCGATAGTGTATGCTGTAGAGTGAGGAAATTAATTTTCGTCATGAAAAAGCTCCGCTGTAGCACCGACCAGAATACCGTGTATATGGTTTATGACTCTCTGTGCAGGTCAATTATTAGCGATTGTATCTCAGTGTGGGGTGGCGTGCACAAAACGAGTTTGTTAAGACTAGAACTTGCGCAAAGAGCTGTTATAAATATTGTACGTCCTCCCTATACGGAGAGTCGAACTTCTAACCGTTCGACAGTTGTTTATTTTGCACATAATTGTACGCCGACACCGTACCAAAGCTTATTCCTCACGTATTCATAGCGATTATCCTAGACGTAAACCTAAAGCTTGCCCTAATGAAGACTATAGAACATTCTTCCCTAGAAGACAGTACCATTGTGTGAGCTCTTACCTGTACAACATCAACAAACACGCACGCACGCACGCACGCACGCACGCACGCACGCTCGCACGCACGCACGCACGCACGCACGCACGCACGCACGCACGTTGTTTGAACTATACAGGCACGTGCTTTACCGAGACGGCTCACTCTTTCGTCCTATTGTATTCTAAAGAGGAAACGAACCCACAATAATGGCCACACACGTCGCCGACAAGTGCAATTTGTGTAAATTAGTTGTTTAGTTTTTATATTTAGTACTTTACATAACTTTTATATTTTATTAGATACATGTATGTTAGCCGTTAAGGTATACAGAGTGTTTTTGTAAATGGGACAGAATGGGGAAATTTAAACCATAGAATATGGATACAAGGAACCTGTAAAGGAACATACAAGGAAACTGTCTTAAGAACCATTACATACATTTTTATGAAAACAATTTTGGTATAGTCAATTGTTTGGTCAAGCGTGTGTTGTCCATAAAAATGATAAAATTGATCAAATTTTTTTAGTGCTAATCGACTCAGTTTCAGAAAGGGATCATTTCATTGTATGGGACAAAAAAAGAAAAAGAAGAAATCAAATCATCATCAAACAAAAAAGAAATCAAAATCAAAGTCTTGGTGAGACTTTGAATTTAATTCAGATTTGATGATCAATCGGTCTTGGTTAAATATTTTACGATTTTATTGAGGTCACTGATTGGAGAACATTGTACGTCTCTTATTTTTTAAAGTAAAAATTTCACAATGTTTTATTGCAGAAACTATAACGCAGCCTTTTCCAAAGTATGCGATAACGCCCCCTTGTGGGCGCTGCAGGCCTAAAGGAGGGCGGTAAGAGACCCAGCAAGAAAATGGGGTCGTTGTGTAGAGGCTTAGGGGACGATTTGTATTTTCATCTAGGAAGACTCTTAGACGCCGACTGAGCTCTCGATTCTCGACTACAATTTTTGAATTCAACTAATATTAATTAAGGGATTGCTCAAACTAACTCGGTTCGAGATTTCTCTCCGTGTAGTTCATATATCTGTCCTGTTTTATTAAATAAATAAAATAACAATCATGTCAATCGCTCGCTTCGTTTCGAAATGAAAGTAGACACAAACAAACGAATAAAAACGCAACAGACACAGTTTCGCATTTTAATAGTTATTAGTATTCCTGAATAGGTAATTTTCGTAGATAATAGACCGCGGGCAATCAAACAAGTTTTTGTTAAATAAACCGATTTGTGCATTCCTGTATCAATCGGCTGATTCATAGAATACTTGTTATTACTTGTTGAGTACGATTGAGCATCGAATGACATAAACGAGTTTATGCATGTTTGTCTTATTCCTGTCGGTACGTGCTGCTTATGCAATCCTATATAAACAAGGTAATATTTATTTTATTTTCATTTGCGGTTTTCGCGCGTAATAGATAAGCAGTACCTAAGTTCAACACTTACTTACGTATTTCTCAAAACAAAACATTGTAGGAGTAAAAAAGAAGAGACGGCATGGTGCGTAATATATTAAATTCGGATTCATTGAAAATCCCACTAACCCATCGTTGCCTTTGTGCCTTCTATGTCTAAAAACATTTTCGAATGAAGCAATGAAGCCTTCAAGACTGCAAGATCATTTGAATAAAATGCATCCAGATAAGAAAGACAACAATGTAGCATATTTTCAAGACCCAGAGAAGAAGCATAATACTCAGCCAAGTGTAGCAAAACTCTTTTCGGCGGCTGCTAAGCAAGATGATGACGGACTTGGAGCTTCGTACAATATCTCTTTGTTAATTGCTCAAAAAGGCAAACCACACAATATCGGAGTAAAGTTAATTTTGCCAGCAATAAAGGAAGTAATAACTACTGTGCTTCAAAAACTGGCCGCAGGTGTCATCCGAAAAATTCCTTTGAGTAATAATTCTGTGCAAAGACGAATTGATGAAAAGGCTGAAAACATTGAAGAATCATTGTGCAATCATCTGAGGACTAGTCAATTCTCATTTCAGCTCGATGAGTCCACTTTACCAACTAATGAAGCATTGTTGCTGTCTTACGTAAGGTTTATTAAAGGTGAGAAAATATGTAACGAACTATTGTTTGATAGAAATTTAGAGACCGATACAAAAGGCGAAACCATATTCAATACATTGGAAAAGTTTTGTGATGAGAAAGAAATTCACTTGAAAAATATTATATCAGTTGCTACGGATGGCGCTCCGACTATGAAAGGCTTCATAGCGTAGTTAAAAACTAAAATTCCAGATGTCCTTTGTATATATTGCGTTATTCATAGACAACATTTGGTTTCTAGAAATTTAAGTGAACGACTATTTCAATCACTGCAATATGTCATCAAAGCAGTCAATTCAGTAACAAAAAAATTCAGTAACAGCTCTTTGAATGATAAATTATTTCATCGCCTTTGTGTTAATAATGACGAAGATTTCAACCGTTTGTTGTTTCACACTGAAGTTCGTTGGCTATCAAGAGGCAATTGTCTGACTCGATTTTACAACCTCTTTGACTCTGTGATAGAGTTCTTGGAAACTAAAGACACAGAATTGCGCAACAAGCTCATTACATCAAAGAATGATATAGCTTACATGACAGACCTGTATAAATTGTTCAACGACATGAATCTTCAACTGCAAGGCGATGAACTAAATTTGATTAAAACAAAAATGTCTTTGCTGCTTTCGCAGCCAAACTGCTTCTACACAAAAAGAATATGGGCAGACGTGAGTTTTATAATTTTATCAGTATCCTGCAGTAACGACGACTTGTTTGCTTACTGCCAACATTTGGAAAACGTCCACATTGACTTCACCGAACGATACCAGGGCATTTTGAACTTGGGAAAACCAGGCTGGGTGTTTGATCCGATTTTCAAATGTCAACACAGCAATATCTTCTTAGCTGGAAGAAGAAATTATAGAATTGACAACGAACGAGGAAATAAAAATCAAGTTCAAAAATGGCTACCAAGAATTTTGGCTACACAAAACCGATCCCGCAATTGTATCCTGGATTGTGGTCAATCGTTCAACGATTCTTGATAGCATTCCCACCGTCATATTTGTGTGAACGTGGTTTTAGTGCTGTGACAACGCTGTTTACTAAATAGAGAAATCGTTTGCATGTTACCGAACGTAGTAACTTGCGGCTGTTCTTGAGTAAATTGGAACCTGATATCAACAAACTTATTAAACAGCATCAGATTCATCCTTCACATTAGTTATATTAGAATCGATTATGTTTGTTTTATTTTGAATAAAAGATACTCTGTCTGAATACTATAAAGTTGCGTTTCGATAATCACTCTCATTGGCAGGTGTAGCCCGTAAGAGTTAACTTGATATCTGTGCGTCGTTGTATACTACCTACTGCGCTCAGATCTTAAGCGGGTTATAGTAAAAGTCACGTTTAGAATGAATGTTTAATCTCCGCTACTATAGCTCACAATAATAATTTAATTTGAAGTTATAGTGGTTTTTAAGTAGGTGAAAAAGGGGGGGCGCTAAAAAATAATTTATTCTCGAAGTGGGCAGTAGACAAAATAAGTTTGGGAACCCCTGCATAGTATAACGTATATAATATAAAAAATTACACATTCAACACTAATGAATTCAATAGATCAGTGAAAGATGAAGAAAAATATGATAGAGGCAAGAAAAATTACTTACAGCCTGAGGCACTGATAATGCCAAAACTGCTACTTTTCTTCCATAAGAATCAGCTAAATAGCCAAATATTTGTACACCAAAACTTGCAGCGAGTGACGTGATACTTCCTATCCAAGATATTGCAGTGGTAGACATAACGTTCCCGGTGGGGGATAAGTCCGATTGTAATATGACGCTCATGGGGGATACCCAACCAATTTGAAGACCATATGTTAGTACGCAGAGATTTGCTGGAAAGACAAAATTATACAGGGTGTAAATTTGAGACGGGGCAGCAAGGCCAGCTACCTTAATCGTTGTAGTTACAGAAAAAAGGGTCTAAAAGACTAT